TTTCAAAGGGACACGGTGGGGGTCGGTTGGTCCAAAACCAAGACAGGCGTTCCATCCAAGTCAGTCTATCCGACAAATGGTTTCTGACAGTGGGTGAAGGCAACAAATCCTGGAAACATCCCTTGAATAGAACACCCGCACATTTGGATACATTTGGATGATTGGCAGCGAAATGCTCCGTGCTCAACTTCACTCGCTTTCCAGGCAACATGGCCCTCCAAGTCACGATTGTACCCCCACCATCGACCTTCACCGACCGCGCAAACGTGGGTGCTTTTTTTGGGTCCTCAATAGATCCCTGACAGCAAACCACAACCCCAACCACCCAAAGGTCAAGCTACTCCACGACAATTCGGTTGAGATCAGGGCATGCGCTCATGCACGCTGAGGGTATTCCCGAGCTCGCTTGCAAGCGTCGTAGTGGTTCCAACCTCTCCTGTGATCAGGAAGCAAAAATGAAGATCAAACCCGGAGATTCATGGATGCTCATAGTTCATGGATGCTAGCACCTGATTGAACCTTCATTTTTGGATGAAGGGGTGCTATGCATCTCCCTTTTTTGGTTCATAGATGTTCATAGTTCATGGATGCTCAGCACCCTTGCCGAAACAACATCGCACATGAATCCACTTCTTCACAGCCGACGGTTGAGCGCCACATCAGGAGCCGAGTCTCTAATTTGGGGAAGATCTGCACCCCCGTCTCTGCCACAGCCACACCACAAAGGAGCAGGACAAAGCGGGCCTTCATCGCAGGGAGCAGTTGGATCCAACTACGAGCCAAAAATCAACGCTCCCGGCAAAGGCACACATAGCCCAGCAATCACAAGCTTTTTGGCCCAGAAACCATCAATGACTGTGAGTTGAAGAGATTCTCCAGGCTGAAAAGGGAGATGATGTTGCATTCGGTGATTGGTCCGCACGGTGAGAATGCGGTCCCTTTCAGGGCTGAACGTGAAGAAAGCAGGAAGCCATTCATTGAGTGGCTGGGTCTACTGATTTGGCGTCAGCTCTCGAACAGCATATCGACATGTCAAAGCTCAGAGCTGCTAAGGATTGCTAAGGTAAGGGGTGCAGATTGCCATGTCAGGTGCTCGTCGACTGCTATGGCGGACATGTTTTGCTGACGCAGCCATCCCGTGTCCCATGGAGCCCCTCCTATCCCAAAGAGTTCATGAACCCAACCGTTCAAGTTGGAATCTATCCTACGATCGGCTATGATGGACTCCATGGACCCACCAGATCCCACTACACCCGCCCCTGCCAATACAGGAACACCTTCCCACACATCGCCGATTGGCGCTCGGGATGGAGCCTCAATTTCTGAGAGAACGAGGGTAGTGACAGTGAGGAAGTCCTAGAACACTGCTCTTCCCGGCTCTTCCTCTAGACGGTATGCGGTGGCATGGTAGTGATGATTCTGCAAATAAGCACGTGGGCATCTCACCTGTGATGATTGTGCAAACCTCCAGTCCAGAATCCCTCCCATTAAATCCTCCCAACCCTTTCATTCCTAAGATGGGGACCCACGTGCGTTTACTTGCTCATGTTTGCGCCCCTCCCTCTGAGCGGTTCCCAGCACTTTGTTCCCGCGCCGGCCACGTTCGGGTGGATGTCCGGGGAGTCTCCGTGGTGCTTTCAGCAAGGTGCTGCAAATTGGGGTCATGTCCTTGGTCCCAAACATGGACTCGGCAAGCAAGTCGATGACCACGAAGCCGAGGATTTGTTTCACCCGGATTGATCCACAGATTCCAGATTTGGCCAACACTGCCACGTCGTGGGCACATGTGTCCAATCACCTTTGGTGAATGGAGTGGCTCCAAGCACGTAGCTGCAAGCAGGACTTGCTGCAGGGCCCTAGTGCCGGGCCGATGTTGAGCAAAACATCTCATCCGTACCAACGTGGTGCACAAGCTGTTCAAACAACATCCATTCATACCTCTCTCATACCTCTCTCATACTGTATACTCTATCAAATTGCATAGGTGCAGAAATCGGCACCTACCTTATCCAAAAAGTGTTTGCTCGCTTTTGCGGTCGCCACTGCACCACTGGTGTTGAATGGTTTCCAAGCTTTCCGGCCGCGAGGCCCGGAAGAAAGCGGAAAAACGCGTCTGCCCACGCGTGCGCCAACGCGTTCGCCTGGGGGGGGATGCACCTATCACCAATCCCCAAAAATGATTTCTCAGTGAAATGCAATAGGTTACGGTTGGGTCCCAAATCCTGATGTGATTCATGCGAGGAAATTTGAACAAACTCCCCAACATATCCAACAATCCACACTTCTACCTCAACAAGACAAAGACATGGGGCCACATTGAAGTTGGTCAAAGTATCATTCTCCAGGTTTGTGTCAATCATTACATAATGAATAATGATGATTGATTGAATTCAGAAAGACCCCGGGGCCGCCCAGGAGTCTCCCATGGTGTTTCTGATCGTTCAAAGCTGTTCTTGCCCCAAGGCCCTGAAGAGCCAAACCCAACAAAACCAACACCAACAGAACCTCTGGCATCTGGCACCCCCGCCGCATGCTGCGCACAGATCTGCTCTCTTGGTTTCTCTCACTGATTGGCGCGTCTCCGCCGTCGCCACGGACGAGACCGAACTGTCCGGTCGTGAGAACCGACGAGCGTCACTCCTCGAGCATCGCTGCACTGGGATGCACAGTGGAGCGAAAAAGAACAATAAAACATCACTTCTATCGATGGAATGGGGATCTCCAAATACTCAAATATGTCTTTCCTTCTGGGCAACTCGCCTGATTTTATATATACATTTCATTTAAACCAAATTAAACCATATCTTTTCATCTATGTATCTATGTATTCATGTTCGGATGGACTGACATTCTGGCTCCAATCCAACAGGAACCACCCACGTTCAGCCTGTCGTGTAACAGGAACCCTCACGGGAGCTCTTCGGACCTGATCCCATAACCGCATTCCTCCACACCGAGCTTCCACTTGCTCCAGGTTGTGATGGCTCTTCCGACTGACCACGCTCCAGTGGCTCACGCGTCGCAAGCCCAAGCGCCGACTGCGTTGTGCCTCAGCCGTCTCCACATCCGGTGGGAAGCCCAATCGCTGGCAGAAACCCGAGGTGAAGAGGATGAAGGTCACCTGAGTCAGAGTCGATCCGAAAGGCAGGATAGATATAAAAAGTGTCCTGCCAAAATCATCTATACACCTCCCAAAGGGTGGATATTGGATGGAAAACGCCTCATCAGGGGGTCTATAAACCACCCAAACTGGGTCCCCGGTTTGACCTCCCGTTTTGATGGTGTCCACCATCAAAACGGGAGGTCACTCAGGGTTTCTACAGAACCGTGAAGCGGGAAAATCTCCGGTTCACGAGGAAGTTGGGTTGGTCATCGCGAGCTGGCTTGGTTCAAAAGGGGTGAATCTAGATGGGGCAATGTCATATGCACAGTGGAAACAACCTATGGGTTGTCTGGGTGATGTTGCCTTAGAAGGGAAAGGATCTCACCACAACGCTGTGCCAACCTCGTTCATCACTATTCAACCATTTCATTTAAACTCATTTAGCTATAATCGGCTACTGGTATAAGTATACATATCTGGCGAAACGTCGCAAGGTTTGTAAATCGTAATGACGGCCAACATCATCCACCTCCCCGAAAAGTCATTGAAAGAAAGCACAGTCCCAGCAACAACTTGCATTTAAACGATTATCAACAAAATCTAGTAGTCATTGCTTCCACACTTTCGCTTGGCCAACTATAACCACATTCGAAGAAAGCGCTGACAGAACGAAAACAAATAGAACAAGTCCAAACGCACACAAAAGCTTAAACTTCACATCTGCGCGTCCGTAGAGAAAGTGGCAGATACGAAGAAGGGAAAGAAGGGCGAGACCGCTTCGAAGAGCAGGGGCCCCAAAAAGCTGGCCGCGCAGCCCCCCAGCGCCTCCACGTTTTTACACCAGACCTGTGCGGCTCGGTCGACCGTGTTGTCCTCGTGGTGGGGACCGGTGGCGGTGGACGCGGACGGGACGTGCGGCTGACCATCCATGGGACGTTGGCATGCAGTGATGAACCAGACTGGTTAGTCGAAACGTGGTCCATCGGGCAGCATCTCTTCAAGTCTCGGACTGGTCGTGTCTGGTGGGTTCTACGTTGACACGTCGTGGGGCGTTGTGGTCTTCGCACGTCGGACTTGAAAGAATGGCAGTGATGGTAACAAGAGGCCCGCCTTCCTTGGTGGCACCTAGTGCAAGATGTCTGGCAAACTTGGTTGGTTTTATAGATGAAAAGGCAAACATGTTGACCCGGTAGGCTTATGTATTTATCATTTATAATGTGAAAGTCAGCCAGAAGGCTCTACACAAGTAGAGGACACAAAAACACACCTGGAACAGGTGTCATGGGCTTGAAATGTTCTGATGGCTGGTCCATGTCAAGCCTTAGAAGGAAACACAATTCGAAGGGTGACGACACTTTATCCAGTTGACTCACTTGCAACCTGCAGAAAACATCAAATATGATCAAATCCTATGCACACGCTTCTTTTCCTTGTCATTCAGGCATGAACCCAGCCGGGAGTGAGGGTCAACAATCTGAGGGACCTGAAGGGAAAGGAAGAGCGGCTGATCACCGAGGGAATAGAAGAGATTCAAGTCAGTAGTGAGCTTGGAGGTGTAGACGTACACGGTCCCCATGATCACCTGCGCCGTCACTGCCAATGGCAACCAAGGGCTGGTCATGCCCAAGTTGCAAAGGATCCATATAAAGAGGAGGCAAGACAAGCTGTAGGGTTGCTTGGTCAAACGACGCAGGATTCCCGCTTCTTCATCATCATCCGTAGCAGCACCCAGCACTTTCATCATGATGGCCGCTGTTAAGTCTCCAGCAGTCTGGGCAAAACTGGCCCACATGGCAGCGTTCCAGCCATGGTATACTTTGAAATAGACTGCAAAAGTGCTAAACTCGAACACGTAGCTGAAGTTGTTGTTAAAACAGCACCTTAATTGGGCGAGTGGGTTTGGGGGTGCAACCCTGGCCCCCCTATCATCGTCATGGAAAAAACACCTGGAAAAACACAAATTGACTTCCTGTAGCTCTATCTTCGAAGGTGGTTCACCTTATCTTGGGAGGGCTATGGATGATCCTGAAAGCAGCGACGACGCAACGAAAACCAGCCAGCTTCATAAGTGTTACCACAAGATGAGAGGCACAGCACGATCAGAAAGGCGGGAATCCGCAAATCCTTCGGTATTCCCTTCGTGCCCTTGTTCGAGCTTCTGGACGTTCTTTTTTGCTCGGTTTTCTCTTCATCTCGCTCATCCTGATCTCCTCACTGGTTCACCCATTTGGGTGGAAAAGTGCCTCATCCCCAAATAACTCAAACTTAGAATCTTTTGAACACCAAAACCCGAACATGTAAATCACCAAAAGCACACCAAAAGGGGCATCACAAGAATTTTTTTCTTTCCGAGCCTCCGTGCGTTCCGGCTCGTGTTTGCACCGTGGGTCGAAGAGCGTTGTTGGCCATGAAACCATGCTGGAAGTTCTCCGAGTCTTTTAGGTTGGTCAAGGCAGTGACACGTGAAAGGAAGGTGCCTCACCGATGGTTTCGCGAAATCCCCGTGACGCACGGGCTGAACACCATGACCTCTATTTTTTCTCGCGGCCGGTGGAAAGCATGGGTGAGGTGGCCATGGCACATCTGGACCGATTTAAGTACATATTTATATATATCTTGATTTGCTGCACATGGCATCCGATTCGTCGTCACCCGAGGGACTTTCACGGCACAAGGAAAAGCCCGCTGCGCGCCCTCAGGGGAGGGAGAGTTTCCGCTATTGGTAGCGGAGCCTGGCCAAAGTGTCAGGCTCCGAGCATGGTTCGTTGAGACCTTTAGGTGAAGGTCCGTGCACATGGCATCTTCGTCGTCCACCACCGAAGGTGGGCTACGATTTTTCTCTGGTGAGACCGAGGACGGTCGCGAATACAAAAGGTGGAAGCAATGGGTCAAGAACAAGTTATTGACATTGGATAAGTTGGCTGAAGGCTCTCGAGGAGCTTACATCTACACGTTGTTGAGTGGCAAAGCGCTGGAAGCAGTCGAGCATGTCGACCCTGAGACCTACCAGAAGAAGGGTGGTGACGATGTCCTTTGGGGCATCCTGGACAAGCGCTTTCCTCAGCAGGAAACTGTCGATGAGCTTGGCGAGATCCTCACAGAGGTGTTCAGCCTGAGATCCAATGAGGGCGAAAACATGAAACAATGGTCGGCACGCGCCTCAGAAATTTTCGACCGTTGTCAACGAAAGACTGGAGTATCATTCCCCGAAGAGGCTCGGGGATGGTTGCTGCTCCATAGATCTGGCCTCTCTGATGAGATGAAAGCTGTTGTGATCGCCCGGGCCCGCGGCGACTTGAAGAGAGAGTCGATCTCTGCTGCGCTCCGGTCGTGTTACCCCGAGTTGGTCGTGACACGCAAGCGTGTTGGGGTAGCCCTTGCAGAGCCCTTTGAAGAGACCCAGGAAGAGTTTGGCGAGCGTGTTGATGACAGTTTTTCTGACGTTGAACAACTCATTGAGGAGCACCAGCCTACAACAGACTATGCCGGAGAGGAAGAGCCCTTTCCAGAGTCGGAAGTCGCTGAGGTGCTGGCGGCCACATGGAAGGAGAAACGTCAGGAACTGAATCGATTGCAAAAGACTCGTCAATTTCAGAAAGCCAAGGACGTGCGTCGCTCATTCAGAGTGGAGATTGAGGAGATGAAGCGCAACTCAACCTGCAACAAATGCGGCCGAAGAGGCCACTGGGCTCGAGAATGTCGCTCCAAAGACAACAAGGGTGCTTCCAAGGGTCGAGGAACCAGTTCGACCTCAGCCCCTTCTGGTGCGGCAGCCGTACATGAGTTGGATTTTGTCGCCTCCATCCTCGACACCCCCTCCGTTTTGGACAAGTTGCGAGCTCGCCGTCTGCAAGCAACATTGACTCCATCCCTCGGACAGACCGAGGAATTGTTGTTGGTGTCCTCGCCGGGTTTCGGCGTGCTGGATTCAGGATGTGGGCGCACCATCATTGGTGCGGAGACCCTGAAGGCATTCAAGCGCCTTTGGATTCAGAGGGGATGGGTCCCTCCACAGCCGTTCCATGAAGTGCACCAGTTCAAGTTCGGGAATGGAGAGGTGGAGACTTCCACCCTTTCCATACAGTTGCCTGTGGTGCTTGCACACCGACAAGGTGTGATTCGTGCTGCCATCATCCGGGGTGATGCGCCTCTCCTGTTGAGCCGATCTGCTATGAAGGCTCTTGGAGCCACTCTGGATTTCAAGAATGATTGTCTCCAGGTGTTTGATCGTTCCGTGAAGCTGCAAACAAACAGTGCAGGGCAGTACGTTGTGCAGCTCCTTGGCGATGAGAAAGATTCATCCGCAGCCGCTTTCACCGAAGTGATGGCCTCCACTGAAATGCATCTACCCAAAGGCGAAGAAGAGCTTGATGGGAACAGTGAGTCTTGTGAGGCCATGGCTCAAACCGATCCGCATGCATCCGCCGATGCACCTGCAGAGCAGCCTCCGGAGACTGCTGTGTGGACTCAGGAGAACTGTGATGTGGTTTCCACCCCGTGGTTGTCTCGGGAGGGACCGTCCTGGAAACATGTGTTTCGTCGTCGTGTGACCGACATGCAAACTCACCGGGTGTTAGATGATTCCACGTTTGATCCAGGGACCCCCCAGAAAAAGACCATTGTGACTTTGTTGGGAAGAGCCGCGCATGTGAAAACTGAATTTTTCCATGTGGGATCACCTCTTGAGAGCCCAAATGCATGGTGTCCCAGTCCTCATCAGTGCCGACAGTTGCACAAGCAAGCTCAAACGTGCTTAGCCATCCAGGAACGCAGAGCATCTTCGTCATGTCTAGTCATGGAAGTGTTTTCTCCTCCCAGATTTGCAGTAGAAGCCGAGAAAGCCGGATTCAGAGCCAAATCATATGATTTGGTCAACGGCTTCGACTTTCGTCGTGCGTCCGACAGGAAATTGGTGGAACACGAGCTGGTGACCGAGAAGCCCGAGCTCTTGATCCTCTGCCCGCCTTGCACCGATGAAGGCGGCTGGTTCCACTTAAATAGCCATAAATGGGATCCAT